GCGGGCGAGCAGTGGCAGCACGAGAAAGACAACATGCAAGGTGACGTCTGCCAGGGGCGAAGAAGTGGGGATGGTACTACCAGTCGAGTAGGAGTAGGGAATTGTGTGAGGTCGTCTGGCCTGGGGCAGGGGAATCAATGCGTGTGGGTGGAAGGGAAGGGATATCCGAGAGAAGAAAGAGGAGAGGAGACGGAAGACGAGGAGGAAAACAAGGACATGCAGGGAAGTGGGAAACCATAAGGTACCCCCCGGACCTCTCTGGTTTCTCGCCAGAGCATCGAGGCAAATGCAGCGGCGGCGACGAGGGCCTCCTATGAGGCCCAAAAGGGCGAAAGCGAGGCAAGGGTATCGGCATCGGTAACTTCTCCCCCCGGAGCGGCGGCGGACGCAGCTCCGACATGCCGGTGTGCTGCCTCAGAGGGCCCGCCTGGCGCCGCCAGAAGCGCGTGCCCCACCCGGCTAGCACCGTAAGTGGCAGGGCCGGGCCCTGCGCGCGTGACTACCTACCAGACCACCCCAACCCAACCCGAAGACCCCAATTTCGGGTTGGGGGGGGTACGGGTTCCACATGTGTTTTTTCAGTGTTCCCCGACCCCGCCCAACTGGAAATGGAGGGCAAATTGAGGCCTTCGGGTTGGGTTGGGGTGGTTTGGTGGGTGGCCCTGCGGCGCACGCTGTGCGCGATCTCCTCGCGCGCGGCTCTGGCGGCAGGCCTCGGCCCGGGCTCGGCATCGCTCCGACGCGGCATCGCCGGGAAGGGGTGATCCGAGAGGAGGAGGAGGAGGAGGAGGAGGAGGAGGAGGAGGAGGAGGAGGAGCAGGAGGAGGAGGAGGAGGAGCAGGAGGAGGAGGAGGAGGAGGAGGAGGAGCAGGAGGAGGAGGAGGAGGAGGAGGAGGGGAAGCGCGGAGTCGGGCCCAAGCAGGGAGGAGGCGTCCGACACCACGACGATGTGCAGTGGGACCTACGCCAGAGACGCATCCCTCGAGAGCATGGGGCCCTGCGTTGGCCAGAGCCAACAGAACATCCAAAGGCGCCCGCCCCCAGGGTGCCCCACAACCTCCAACGAGCACGAAGAACACTGGGGGGCACCCTCCCCGGAGCGATTCCGCTCTTGTGCCCGTAGCTCGGTCCGACCGCGGCCGGCTCCTCTGCGGGGCCCCGCGACAGGCTCCCTGGAGCGCGCGGGGTGACCCTCCCAGGCCCTGCCTCGCCATCGCTCGGACGTCCACTCCCCGTGCATGTTTCGATGTCGTGCGTGCATTTTTCGCCAAGTGATCAAAGATGCTCTTCGGTGGTCCCCGCCGAGAAAAAAGGCACACGTCCGAGCGGTGCCAAGAGGCCCTTCTGCAGCGGGCACCCCGCACGGGGCACTGCGAGGCCGAGGGGCGCGCCCCGTCCGGGCTTCCGGGCCGCCCGCGGCCCCCTCCCGACCCGCCAGAGGTCGGGGGGCCCAAGCGGGAGGCCCCTCCCTTGCCGTCGCTCGGACGTCCATTTCCAGCGGATTTGTCGGTTTCGTGCGTGGTTTTTTTGCTCGATGATCCAGGATGTTCCTCAAGTGTCCTCGCCGAGAAAAAATACACACGCCCGAGCGATGCCAGGCTCCTCTGAGGTCTCCAGGAGCTCGTCCGCGCAAGAATTGCCGATCCTCGGAACGCGGGTTCACGCCAACGTGTGCCGGTCCGACGGTTCGTCGACGCCGGCCGAGCGGGGTAACATCCACACACACACACACATTGGGCCAACACACGTCCTGAGGATCACCAGAAGGAGTCGCCGGACCGTGCACGAGAAGGCTACAGTCTACGCTGGGCGCTTCGGGGAGCTCGGCGACAAGGTCAGGTCGCAGAGTCTCCAGATCGCTCAGCAAGGGAGCGACGCGACGCCCTGGGGTAATAGACCTGGTCTGAGGCTGGCATGCACGTGCGCGAAGATTCACACCCGAGGAGGGTCCTGTGGGCACCTCTCTTTGTCAAAGCACTGCCCTTTCCCTCGCGTGTCTGCCACTCGGCCACTAAGCTTAGGTCGGGCGTGTCCCCCTACAGGGGGATTTTGGGCAGAAGATTAAAAAACTCAGAAAATGCTCCCCAAATGCTCGAAAATAATCAAAAATAGTTCCCGGACTATTTTTGAATACTCCCCCTGTAGAGGAACCGGCCCGACTTAACACAAGGGCGTGGAGGAGATAAGACAAGAGCACCATTGACGCGCGGAAGGCGTCGGCGAGATGCACCAGAAGCATGCCAGCACGAGATGAAGGCAAATAGGAAACCGAACTCTATACACCGACGCATTTTCCGGCCCTGCGCTGAAGTTCTCACCAGAAAGCGGATCCTGGTGTATATGGGGTCCTGGTGTATACATGTTTCGTTGTTTCCCTGGGGAAACGGGGGAAACGTATACACCACACCACCCCGACGTCGTCACCGACCCTCAAAAAGTCCTTGGACTGAAGGAGAGCCCGCCAGTGGTAATGTATATGCTCCAGTTTCCGAGCAAGTGCACCATGCAGGGACAACCTGCGACTGGCCTGCAATCGCCTCGGCTCGTGGATGGCCCACGCGTGGGCCCGATGGCACAAGCCGCCAACCTCACCGAACTCCTCCCGCCCGTGGAGGAGGGAGGATGAGGAGGAAGAGGAGAGAAGGGCCTCGTTCACGCACCCGAGAGGCCAACCGAAATCGACAAGGCAAAAGCCGAGATTGAACACACCAGTTCCTCGGATGAGTGCGTCCGAGTGGGGGAACGAATAAGGAGAGGAGTGAGTGAATGAGTGAGTGAGTGAGTGAGTGCGTGAAGAGCGAACTCGTCCAAAGAGAAAGTCTGGGGGGGCAGGGGGCAGAAACAGGCGAGCCGCCTGAGACATCCCCCCAACGTGAGCACGAATCCTGAAGTGTCCCCACCCCCTGGCGGCTCCGCCGTGGGGTGCCCAAACGTCACGCCTGCTATGCCACGGTGAGCACTGGACCACCACAAGAGAAAGTCCGGGGGGGGCAGAAACAGGCACACCGTCGCAGAGATCCCCACAATCTGGACGCGAAGCCTGGAGTGCTCCTACCCTTGGCGGCTCCCCTGGGGGTGCAACAACGCCGCGCCTGCCATATCGCGATGAGCACTGAACCACAAAGATAGATACGTCTGGGAAACACAAACAAACATGCCGTTTCAGACATCCCTGCAATCTGGACGCGAACCCTGGAGCGTCCCCACCCCTCGCAGCTCCTCCTTGGAGTGCAGGCGGTGAGCATTGGACCACGAACGAAAAGGACTGGGGGTGCAGAAACAGGCAAGCCGCCTGAGACATCCTCACAAACCGCTCCGAAAGCCAAAGATGTTGAGCACGCAAATGGGCAAACCGCCTGAGACATTCCATACATCTGGGCGCAAGCGAGCCCGTGAGACACCCCGTGGCGCCCCCTGCCCCTGGGGGGTGCTGAAACCAGCGCAGCGCATCGCCTGCGACAACTTCACAAACTGTTCCGAACACAAAAGATGTTGAGCACGCAAACGGGCGAACCGCCTGAGACATCCCCACACTTTGGGCGCGAACAGGCCCGTGAGATACCCCCTGGCGCTCCCCCTTGGCCCTTGGGAATGCTGAAACCAGCGCCTCGCCTGAGTCATCATTACATGGTACGTGTGAGCCTGAGTATGAGTGAGTCTGAGTCTGAGTATGAGAGGAGTACGCGTGTCTGAGTGTTTGAGTCTGAGTGTGAGTGAGTCTGAGTGTGTGTGTGTGTGTGTCTGGGAGTGAGTGAGTCTGAGAGTGAGTCTGAGTATGAGTGTGTATGAGCATGACTGAGCCTGAGTGTGAGCGAGTCTGAGCGCGAGTGATGAGTGAGTCTGAACGTGAGTGAGTCTGAGTGTATGAGTGGGTCCGAGTGGTGCGTCAGTCTGAGTATGAGTGAGCATGGGTGAGGAAGACGAGGAGGACGAGGAGGAGGAGGAGGAGGAGGTGGGGATGAGAAGTGCTCCCTCGGAGACGTCAAGTCATAGCAAGATCCCCACCTTAGAATACGGGGAACTATGACACATCTCCCGGGCTCTTGTTGCCCCTGCTCGGGGCCGAAGCGAACCCCCTGGATGCCGAAACTGAGAACAAAAACGTCGGGATAGAACATCGGTCGGAATCCGCAGGCGAATCAAATCGACACCCTCGAGATCGAACCGATGGAGTTCATAGGGCTCCTGCCTTCTGAGGGGGGGCAACGCGAGGGGACTGGCTCCGGGGGGGGGAACGTCGACCTGGAATCGGCGGTGCAGCGCCAGAAGATCGGCGACGCGCTCCCGATAGCGGAGCGGCGCACTCCTGGGCGGGGGCTGGCCTCTCGGGCCTCTCTCGGCGACAAGGGGGCAATTTTGGCGGCCGAGGCCTGTGCCCCTGAACCTACCCCCCTCCAAAGGTTGGTAAAGGGGCCCAGGGACACGCAAATAAATAGGCACAGATATCCCAGGATTCCCCATGTTTTCCCCAAGTTCCTGGGTGTTCGTCTTCCACCCCACTTCCCATGCATGTTCCCACCTTCCCCTGGGGACCGACGATTTATTGTACCTGTGTTTCTGTTTTTTCTCCTTATGCTTTTGACTCGGAGCTCGGACTTTGGGCGGCCGCTCGGGACGATCCGGGCATCCCCGGCACGCTCTCGGCGGGGCGCAGCTGCTGGAGAGCACTCCGAGGCTGGGAGACCGCCGAGCACCGACGAACACGCTCGAGAACCTTGAGCCTCGAGCCCGAGCCGGCGATGAGTAGGCGACTGGCGGTCGAGGCGCTCTCGGGCCGGGCGAGGGGGGGGGATAGCAAAGGGGGGGGGGGAGAATCAGCTCGCGCAGCTGATTTTCCCGGCGCCCTTCCCGGCGCCGGAGGCGGCTACGTGTCGAGGAATGGGCCCCTCGGTGGGGCCGAAACCAGCTGCACGCAGCAGATTTCGTACCCCCCCTTTCCCAATCCCCCCCTTGCGTCCGGCCCGACGCTCACTCGTGAGACCGTGCCCCCGCCTCTGCCCTTAAGGGCCTCGGCCGGGCGGGCTCTCCTTGTCGAGCAGGCGCCAGCGCTCGAGCAGGCTCGCGAGGGCGCGCTCGGTGTAGGACTTGAGCACCAGGGGGTCCGTCGGCAGGCGGTTGCACAGGGCTGCCGCCGGGCGGGCTGCGCACACGACACGGCCCCCGCGGAGATTGTGGCAGCCGGTTTGCGCCGCGATGCCGCGGAGGCTGGCTTCTGACGCCGCACTCATCGGTCGACCTCGAACGATCGCGGCTCCGCGACAGCGCAGATCGCTCGTCACCATCCGATTCTGGGCCACTGGCAGCATGAGCCTCGAACGCCCGCGCAGGGGCCGTCGCCGCCGCGTCACCGCGGCGCAAACCGACGGCTGCTCGGAGGGGACGCACTGAGAAACAAAGGATTACGGAATCCCACCAGCCCTTTGGGCGTGAGTGGTTTAGAGAGCCCGCTCTGTTCTCAACCCCCTTCTTCCCCTTCGGGGAGGGGCTTCCCCCTCCCCCTACCCCCTCCCCCTGGGCCTGGAGAGGGCGCCCCGCGGGTGGTCAGAGGGGTCTTTTTCGACTCCTGGGAGGGCTAAAATTCGACACCCCTCACGAGGATTCTGGCCCCGACGGGGGGAGGGAGAAAAGTGCTCCCCCCATCTGTGATCGATCGCCCGACAGATGGCCCCAAGATTCCTCCCAGACCCCTCCCAAAGAGCCCCAAGAGGCCCCAAGAGGCCTCCAAGAGGCCCCCAAGATGCCCCCAAGAGGCGCCCAAGAGGCCCCCAGAGGCTCCCCCGAGGCACCCAAGACGCTCCTGGAAGCCCCTGGGGCCGCCAAGAGGCCCCCAAGACGCCCCAAACCGCCTCCAAGAGGCTCCCAAGAGGCCCGAAGAGGCTCCACCAAGGCACCCACGACGCTCCTAGAAGCCCGTGGGGCCGCCAAGAGGCCCCGAAAACGCCCCAAAAGGCCTCCAAGAGGCTCCCAAAACGACTCACACCACGACGAGGGCCCCGAACGACTCACACCACGAGGAGCCCGAACGAGTCACACCAGGAGGAGGGGCCCGAACGACTCACACGACGACGAGGGGCCCGAACAACTCACACCACCAGAAGCCCGAACGACTCACACCAGGACGAAGAGCCCGAACGACTCACATCACGAAGAGCCCGAACGATTCACACCAGGAAGAAGGGCCCGAACGACTCACACCAGGACGAGAAACCCCAAACGACTCAAACCACGAGGAGCGCTTTCTCTCCCTCCTCCTCCGCCTCGTCCTTCTCCCGCTCCCCCCACAAGGAGGATGTACAAGGAGGCGGGAGGAAGGAGGAACAGGGGAGACATGCGGGGCCAAGCGGACACAAGCCTGAAAAACACGACTGTCGGCATGCTTCGCAAGAGTTGCTGTTGCGAGATGGGCTGGTGGGGATACGCGAAGCGTAAAGAATTTGCACTCTGGGAGGTCCGCGCGGACCTCCGAGAAGTTCTAGATTCCCCCGGGGCCAAGTCTCCACCCCGCTGCGTTTTCTGGCGGTGCCAGGTCCCGTGGAGGGCCCCAGGGAGCCCAAAGTGGCGAAGCATAGAACAAAAATCCCATTTCCCTCAGGAGTCGTTTCTTTCATGTTGTGGATGCCATGGCAATGGACATCCTAGCACTCCTATCAGTGGATGAAACATACACTTAAACTTGTTCATATTATGTGTTTAACATGTTCAAGACATGTGTGAATCATTTTTTAGACATGTGGACATGATTTAGCAACATGCTCCCTCTCCATTGATCGTCGCCCACAACTCTCATGGCGAGGAGGAGGAGGAGCAGGGGAGGAGCAGAACAGAGCATCTGCGCTCCGAGAGGTGCGCCTGCGCTCGACGGCACGCGGGAGGCAGCCTGAGCCGAAGTGCCCGACCTTTGCCGCTGGCCCCGAGAGGGCAGGAGAGCCCGGAAGCGACTCCATACAGTCGGACTGGATTGGACAGGACGCGCGAGGACACGTGACCCCTTCCAAGGGCCACGATGCCATAATAATGTAGGAGGCACCGCGGCAAGGGGCCCCCAAGAGCCCCCCCCCCCCAAGAGGCCCCAGGGGAGCCCAATACGCCGCCAAGGAGCCCCAAGACGCTCCCAAGAAGCCCCCAAGGAGCCCCCAAGACGGCCCCAAGAGGCCCCGAATAGCGCTTCGGGGCCGGCGGAATGAGCGAAGCGATTAAATAATGTAGGAGGCATGGGTCGCGAGATACAGGACACAAGGGTACTCTTGACTTGGGAGGCTCGACCTACTGATCAGGGCCGACTGTAAGTCGGATCGGCGATCGACATGAAACGGATCGGCGGAGATCAGCAGCCGAGTCGGGAGAAGTCGAGTCGGCGGAAATCGACAGGCCAGTGGGCCTCTATTCGGAGATCGGAGCACAAATCGGAACCCGAAGTCGAATCAAGTCGGAACTGGAAGCCACCGAGATCGAATCGAATAAAGTCGGAAGAATCGGAATGAGCCCTGAGAGGAGGAGGAGGAGGAGGAGGAGGAGGAGGAGGAGGAGGAGGAGGAGGAGGAGGAGGAGGAAGAGGAGGAGGAGGAGGAGGAGGAGGAGGAGGAGGGGGTGAAATAGCAGAAGATAGAGGAGGAGGAGGAGGAGGAGGAGGAGGAAGAGGAGGAGGAGGAGGAGAAGAAGGCAGCTGCGTGCCAAAGAGCACGACTGGCAAGTGAAGGGAAGCCAGAAGCCGCATGCCAGAGAAGGGAGCCTGGCCAAACCAAGGCCCTCCCCACCCCCGCACGGGTGCTGGCAAAGCATCTCTGCCCCGCTGGCCGGTCTGCCCCCTCCCCCCGTTGGCGGGCACGGGCGCACCGTCTCCTTCGGGCCTCGTGGCGCCAATCCCCACCCGGAGAGGGTAAGTACGCCAACTCACGTCGTCCCGGTGGGCGGTGCGGGGCAATGATAGGGGGGGACTGGCATAAGGGGGGGGGTAGCATCGACCTGGAATCGGCAAAACGGCGCCGATAGCTCGGCAATGGGCCCCCGAAGGCAAGTCCACACGCTCTTGGGCTGGGTGGGGCTATCAGACACCTACCGGCGATCCATGAGCGATGTGGGGTCGATGCATCCCCCCTAGGCCCTATGCCTATCCCCCCCCATCGTTTCCCCAAAAAGGGAGGGGGATCCTGACAACGATGAGGGCAGAGGAGGACCCTCAGATGAGGAGGAGGAGGAAGAGGAGGAGGAGGAGGAGGAGGAGGAGGAGGGGAAGGGGGAGGAGGAGGATGAGAAGGAGAAGAGAGGAGGAGGAGGAGGAGGAGGAGGAGGAGGATGAGGGAGAGGAGGAGCAGAGACAGGAGGAGATGGAGGAGGGGGAGGAGGGGAGAGGAGAGGAGGAGGAGGAGGAGGAGGAGGAGGAGGAGGAGGAGGAGGAGGAGGAGGAGAGAGGAGGATGAGGAGGAGGAGGAGGGGCAGGAGGAGGCGCTGGGTGTCGCCAATCAACTCGCGACGGATTGTCTCTGTTCCCCCCCGCCCTCAGGCTCTGGAGAGGCTACCTCTCGGCCCCCGGGAGGCCTCAGGACGACTGGAGATGGAAAGCTCTCCCTGGGAGGAGGGGGGGTCGAGAGTCCCGGGGGGCGCACGCCACGGAATAAGACATGAGACGTCGGAGGAGAGGGAGGACGAGGACAGTCTCAGCTGTGCCGTTGGAGCTTTCGCGGGTGGGGGTGGGAGAGCGGGGGGGGGGGGGTTCTCGCAGGGAAGATGGTGAGGGATGGGGCGGCACCAGCGGGACAGGGAAGGGCGGGGGGTGGCGGATGGAGATAGGCCCACCAGGGTGGGAAAAGGGCCGATCAGAAAAAGGAGGCTGAGAATAATGACGAGGAGGGGGAAGAGGAAGAGCAGAAGCCGTGTGCTACTGCCTCGACGGAGCTATTACACTCTGGGCCACGAGGCTGCGGAAACTAAGTTGTAGCGGGCGGCGCGGAGGAGGAGGAGGATGATGAGGAGCAGCCTCAGGAGCAGGAGCAGGAGCAGGAGCAGAAGGAGGAGGAGGAGGAGGAGGAGGAGGAGGAGGAGGAGGAGGATATGGAAACACGAGGAGGACCAATGTAAACCCAAGACACGGGGAGGCACGGGGAGGAACAGAAGGAGGGCACGCGTGATGATACGTACGTGCGTACGTGCGCGTATTACCGTGCGAGCCCATCGGCAATTGCTCGCGCACTGTCGTCGTGATCGTGTGCTCCTGCAAGGAGCTCAACCTTCCTGGGCCACTTTCCTTAGCTTTCAATTGCCGCCCAAAATCGACGGACACCTACAGCGGCCCGCGCCCTCCGTCCACACAGCGGCCCTCGCCCTCCTCCCCCTCCTCCTCGTCATGCGTGAGCATCCTCCCCGTCCTCTCTATCCTGCTCCCACTCCTGCTGCTGCTGTTCACCCTTCTCCCCTTTCCTCCTCCCACAGCTACTCCTCCCCGTTGCTCCTCGCTGCTAGCTTCCTCTTCCTGCTACTCCTCGCTCTCCTCTCCTTCCCCCCCTCCATCTCCTCCATCTCCTCCTCCTCCTCCTCCTCCTCCTCCTCTTCTTCTTCTTCTTATTCTTCTTATTCTTCTTCTTATTCTTATTATTCTGCTTCTTCTTATTGTTCTTCTTCTTCGTCTTCTTCTTCTTCTTCTTATTCTTATTATTATTCTTCTTGTTCTTCTTCTTCTGCTTCTTCTTCTCCTTCTTCTTATTCTTCTTCTTCTTATTATTCTTGTTATTCTTCTTCTTCTTCGTCTTCTTCTTCTTCTTCGTCTTCTTCGCCTTCGTCTTCTTCTTCTTCTTCGTATTATTCTTATTCTTCTTATTCTTCTTCTTCTTCTTCTTCCTCCTCCTCCTCCTCCTCCTCCTCCTCCTCCTCTCCTCCTCCTCCTCCTCCTCCTCCTCCTCCTCTCCTCCTCCTCCTCATCCTCCTCCTCCCTCCTCCTCCTCCCTCCTCCTCCTCCTCCTCCTCCTCCTCCTTCCTCCTCCTCCTCCTCCTCCTCCTGCTCCTCCTCCTCCTCCTCCTCCTCCTCCTCCTCTTCCTCCTCCTCTCGCCCTCCCCTACATTCGTCCGCACTCGTCCCGCTCGCACCCCCCCCGTCTGTTTCCACCCTCTCCCTCGACCCCTCTCCCCGCCGCGATCAGATTATGACTTCTGAATCCACGCCCCGACGTGCTGAGCAATACCTTAATCTGCTGACCTTTGACGTTTGCGCGCTTAATTACATGATACCCGCTCCTCTCGAGAGTTTCATTATCCTTCAGAGAAACCAAACTCTCCCTCCCGCCCTCCTTCTCCTCGGATCCGACAAAAGGACGTGGGACAGCGAATCCACTGCACTCGGCAGGTTCTCCCGGCGCCTCCTGGCGCTGGGAGGAGCAGCAGCGTATCGAAGAGAGGGCCTGGCAGCGGAGCTTCAACCAGCTGCGTCCTCCCGAGTTCCCAGAATCCCTCTCCTTCCCCTCCTCCCTCGTCGCCCTCCTCCTCCTCCTCCTCCTTCTCCTCCTCATCGTCCTCGCCCCCCTTTTGTCCGACCCCCCTTTGGATCCTCGCCCTCCTTCTTTCGGATCGGAGCTCGGGTCTCCGGCGACCCCTCGGGGCCAACTCGCGCAGCCCCGGAAAAACAAGCCCTCGACGAGGCGCAGCTGCTGGAGAGCATCCCGAGGCTGGAACACCGCCGAGGCCCCACGAGAGCACGTCCAAGCCCTCGACCTCCACCCGACCCCTGGGACACCCCCGCGTGCGTCCGACGTAAGCCCTCCTCCCCCCAAATCCCTGCACTTCCGGCCCTGCTCGTCGCCTGCCCGCTCTCGGCTCCGCCGTCTGGGGAGCCCCCCCCCCCCCCTTCGGGGCGCGCCCGAGAGCTCCGCGGCCGTCTTGCACTTGCTGTGGGGGAACGCGACCCTGCCGCTGGGGCCTCCCGGGCCCGCCTGGGAGCCGAGAGAGAGAGAGAGAGGAAGAGAGAGAGAGAGAGAGAGAGGGAGAGAGCAGACAAACAACTCGTGCAGCCAAAGTGTCGCAATACCGAGAGACCCCAAAGACGTCACAAACATCACCTTGCCAGATCGGCGCTGGACCCCTCTCCCTGGCGCCTCTAGCGCCGCCGCTGACACGCCAGGAAAGGGGGTCCAGCGCGGATCCAGGAAATCCGCGCGGACCTTCGAACATGTATGTTTCTGCCTGTTTTTCGTCATCATACCACCTTTTGAATCAGCATCGAAGCCCTCTTTGGGGGCCTCAGACGCTCCCAGATGCATACGGAACGCAGGATGCACAAGCATGGAAGGACATCAGGAGCATCCCTTTCGAAATCAAAGCGAACAATTTTCAAACGTTCTCAGGGCAAGTCTCCGTCGTGTCGTCTCGTCGCGAAGGTTGATTCCTGTCATCCGCACATCCTTCGATCATGCAGGTTCCGCGCTGTCCGACAACGGGGATCGTTCCCAATGTACGAGAACGGCGCCCATGCACCGTACCGTGCCTGGACTCCGTTCAGGCCCCGCTCCAACGCGGCACGGTGCATAGTTTGTTCGGCTCTGGGGGCCAGGAAACTCTGCACTGTACCATCCTTGGGTCGAGGATCGACGACGCCTCGAGGGGCGCTGACGCGGTACGGTGCATACATGCCGTCCGCGGACAACTGGCATGCATCGAGCCGCCAGTGGCCCTCCTCCTCGAGCGCCGACGCCGCCACCGCGTCGATGCGGCTTTGGCATCGAGCCGCGACCTCGGGTCGGATCGGCCGCGCCTCGGATCGGGCAGCGGCGGTACAGGAGCCGAAAACGAGTCGAATTGGCCCCGCCATGATTTTACCAGCCTCGAGCGTATCCCTATCCCTAAGATTGACACGCCAAAAGGCGACGACAATCTTAGGGATCCGCCCTCAAAAAATAAGGGAATCCCTAAGATTGGCATCGTGACGAGGAGGTGCCCAGCATAGGGACAGGGATATGTTCCAGGCTGGTAATGAGTGGACGACGCAACCAGTGTACCAAACCAAGCCTTTTGGCAGGCCCGACATGGAGACGGAGGAAGTGGGCAACAACAACTGCTGTCCAGAACCGAAAGCGGCCGCCGGTGGGAAAGGCGGACCTGTTGTCCAAAATAGCAACATCTGCGGCGGCGGCGACAACGGATCTTCGTACCCCTTGCTTCGTGCACATTCCGATCGCCCAGATACCAGACGCTTCCGCGCGTGCTTGCACGCGAGGCGGCGTGCGTGGCCCGATGTACGGCTCGCGTCGCCACATGCATGCACAGCACGCCGCACGAACGTTGGGTCGCATCGGGTCGCCAGAAGGCAAATAGTTGCTTGGGACATAAAAACCTGCGAGGGGGGGTTACCCATAACCACCGCCCGGCGGACCGATCTTCGGGGACCTCGGCAGGCGGTGGATCCCTCTGTTGGGCACCCGCCCCCTTCGCGCAACGCCCGAGCCTCCACGGCGGTCCTTGCTGTGGCCTCCTCCGCGCCGCAATTCCCAGAAGCGACGAGGAGGACGATGAGGACGAGGATTGGGAACCGCGAGCCGCGAATAGGGGGCCACATGCGAACCCTACCCCTACCCCCCACGACTTCTGAGGGGGAGGGTGGGGTTCACTTCGTTCGGGAGCGCTCGAGCAAAGTGAACCCTACCCTCCCCCTCAGAAGTCGTGGGGGGTAGGGGTAGGGTTCGCATGTGGCCCCCTAGCGAAGAACTTCACGCCCCAATGGCGGCCCTTGCTCCGATCCCTTCCCGCCGCACATCAGCGCTCCGCGGTCGAGCTCCGTGCTGAAGCACTCGCGCACGTGCTGCTCCTGGCGGGCGCAGGGCCGGGCGGGTGACCACGGGCCAGTCGCAGGGATAGAGGAATCAAAAACTGCAGTCCTTGTGGGCCCTCCAGAGAGGACTGCGCCCGAGCACTCGGGCGCCATGCAGGAAAGCCCCGAATCCTGTGGAGGCCGTCGGCCGCCGCCTCAAGAATAGCCCTGGTCAGCCAGGACCACGAGAGGCGAAACGCAGCAGCTCGGAGCGGAAAGACTGCAAGCAAGTAAACTTTCGGAGCTCCGCGCAGATTTCTTGTATCGGCGCTGGGCCCCAATCCCTGGCGCGAGGAGCGCGCCAGGAGGCGGCGCCGAAGGCGCCGCAAAGGGGCTCCAGCGCCGATGCGAGGAGTCCGCGTGGAGCTCCTGCGATTTCTGGGTATGTAGTTTTTTGTGATCTCCGCACCGCCGATCGGGCGCCGCAGGTGGCTACCCTATGGCGCTCTCCCTCCTGCTCTGCCCCCTTCAGGGGGAACGTGAGGGGGGCAGCGCGGTCTCGCTGTCCTGGGCCGTGTAGTGTCGCTTCCTTGCGATCCAGGTTGACAAGCAATTGCAGCATCGCGAAAACTCGTGACCAGAGCCCTAGACTCGGTATCGTTCAACCGACCCCCATCCCCATCCTCATCCCTTTCGAGACCCCCACCAAATTACCACCCCAGTTGGGGATACACCCCTGAAGGGGGCAGAGCAGGAGGGAAGCATCGATCTGACATCGGCGATGCATCGCCGCGAGAGCGGCAACGGGCCCCCGGCAGCGAGGCCGCCCGCTCGTGGGCGAGGTGTGCTGTCGAGCCTCTCTCTCGGCGTCCACGGGCGATGGGGGGTCAAAGCATCCCCCCGTCCGAGCCTGTCCACCACTGGCGTTGCCGCTGATGCCTGCTCCTCACCTTGCTGTTCATCCACCCACACTGGCGGCGCCTGCCTCCTCACTGCTCGTCTTGCTCAAGGTTGTGGCCCGACGATCTGCATACTTCGCACGAGTTATCGAATCCTTCGACCAGCTTTCAAAAACCACTGTTCGCCCTGGGCCACGTGACAAACGTGTGGGGCTTTGGCCTGGTCTGGTGCCGAGCATGTGTCTTTGGTCTGGGGCTGGACCTTGAGCACTCCGGTCCAAATTCGTAGGGTCGGGAGGGGGCGCCTCTCTCGTCAATCGACGAAGGGGAGGTGCTTTCGATGTTGCACCGTGGACGGGACCATTGCATCGCCTGCCAAGGGTCGCAAACACGCCCTCCCTCGCAGAATCAGAGCCCACGGGATCGACGTGTGCCTTGGTGACCCACCATTGTACACTGGGGCCAGGTGCCCCCGGCTTTTCACTCCATGTTGGAGAGCCCCTGGGGCCCTCTGGGCCTCGTGCGGGGTGCTCTGAGAACTGGCCTCCTTGGAAACCCTGGGGGCACCGTGGGCCAGGGGCACCTCTGGCAACGCCCGACCACCTGCCCTGAAACCCGCCCGGGAGGCCCAGCACTCTCCCCCGAGGTCAAAGCTGTCAATCGACAAGTTTCCCCTCGGGGGAGAGAGTGCCCTGCCGGCTGAAGCTGTCAATTGACAGTCTTTTAACTGGCAGGGCGTCGGGTGCGACGGGGGAGCATTGCTCGGCGTTGGCGTCAACGCCGAGCGCTGCTCCCCCGTCGCACCCGACGCCCTGCCGTGCCCCCGCCCCCTCCGCGCGCGGCTCTCCACGTGCCGAATCTCAGAGGTCGTGGTCTCGCGAGCGTGCGCCTCCACTCGGGGCGTCTTCGGCCGCTCCGAGCGGCGCCCTTCGCCCTGGCGCCCCGCACACTCCTTGCCCCCTCCGCAGCGGCTCGTCCTGAGCACCGGCTCTCCCCATCCCCAGAAGGGGTGCTGCCGGACCACCGCCTCCTCCAGACTGCAGATGCCCGTATTTCCACTCAGGGGTACCCAGGTGAGCCCTCTCCCTCCTCGCATCTACCCTTTCCTTCTTCGAGTAGGAGATGGACTACAAAGTTGATTTACCCCAGACTTGGTTTTCTGTCAAATCCAAAGGAAATACGTCGAATGCTCCGTAGATCCAGCGAGCTTTCTATATATGTTCGTGGATTCGACGGACAATCAAGTTTGGGGTAAATCAACTCTGTAGGCGATCCCCTACTCAACTCCTAATCAGAAAGGCCCGCGGTGACACCAACACCGAGAACCGACCGACCGACAAGCGAGACCGAATCCGACCGAAGCCAACGGACAGCAAGCAGCCCAGAGGTGGCGCATCGGAGCAGCATCCGAGCAGCCGAGCCCACCGAGCGCAGCCATCCGACCCGACCGAACTGCGGCCACTCCAGCTGCAGTCGTACCTGGGCCAGAAGCACGTCCCTCGAGAACGTGTGACCCTCCGTAAACGCACAGCACATCCAAGGGTCCCTTCCCCAGGGTGCACACATCCAGCAGGTACGACGAGAACCTCAGGGTTGCCCTCCCCGAGCCGACCTCGATCTTACACCTCGGTGCGGCTGTACTCTCACATCCCCCCATCGCGCCTCCCCCTGCCTATCCACTGGAGCCGGGGCCGCGCAAAAATGGATTTGCGATCCATGGATCCGGCGCGCGGTCGCCAGATCCGTGGATCGGGGGAAGTGCCCTCCCCCAAGGCCGCCTCGCTCGGCGGCGGCAATCCGCGACTCCCCGTGGAAACGGGACCCGTCGCTCATCCACGCCCCCCTGATCCATGTTTGCGATCGCCTGACGGAGGCCTCCCAACACGAGGGAGCACATCGGGGGCGGCCAGGAGGGGGGCGTCCAAGAGGGGGGGGTGCAAATCATGCCTGGCGGCGTGTGCGTGGCCGAGGGGGGGGGGGGTCTGGGGACGTAATGAAATAAGAAGAGGCGCCATAAAATCTGATGGACTATCATGGCCCACGCCATGATATCCACCCCCCCTAGTCTTGGGTCGGGCCTTTCCTCTACAGGGGGATTTTGGGCGGCAATTTCAGAAATACTCCAACAGTACTCCCCAAATGCTCAAAAATAGTCCAAAAATCGTCCCCGGACTATTTTTGGACTGTCTTTGCGTGTCCCTCCTGTAGAGGAACGGGCCCGACTGAACCCTAATCATCGCCCCCCGCTTTGCCGACCCCGATGGCACCCGGGGCCCGAGGCTCGTACCGCATGCCTCGCGGCTGCACTCGGCGGCGCGGCGCGGTCCTCCGCCGAGCCCCCCCCCCCCTCCGCCGAGCCCCGCTCGGGAGGGCCTGGGCCCGCCTTCCCCCCCCCCTCCTCCTCTCAAGGGGCCCTGGGACACACAAAAAAATACACACAAATAACAGGATTCCCTATATTTTCCCATATTTTCTGGGTTCCTGTCTTCCCCCCACTTCCCATGTTTTCCCATATGTGCTGGGGAATCGCCGATGAATTGTGTCTGTGTTTTTTTCCCTGCTGATCCTCGCCCTTTGCGCGCCCTCCGCCCTCCCATCCTTGGGTCGGGCATTGTCTGCAGGGGCCCTGGGACACACAGTCATAGACGCACGCAGATCACAGGACCCCCCACACATGTTCCCACATGTTCTGGGTTTTTGTTGTCTTCCCCCCCACTTCCCAGAGTGTCCCGTGTCTTCGTGGGAACCGACGAGTCATTGTGTCTGTGTGCTTTTTCCCTCCTGAATGTCCTCCTACAGCCGGATTTCGGACGAACAATGAAAGAATACCCCGGAAATCTTCAGACATTGCCAGAAAGAGTTGAAACATCGCCCCCAGGCTTCACCCCGTCCCCTCCGCTCGCTCACCCCCTGCCGCCAGAAGAGGGGCACCCTGCAGAAACACACACACACACTATTGGAGGTCCGCGCGGGTTTCCTGGCTCGTCGCTGGACCCCCCGTGGCGGCGCCTGCGGCGCCACCTCGTGCGCGCTCCGCGCGCCCGGGAGGGGGATCAGCGCCAATCCAAGAACAAGTTATCACATTTTGAATTCGTACTGGAAATCAATATCAAGGAAGCTGTTCCCCCTTTTAGTCCACACGAGGTTTCTGTTCTCATTGAGCTCGCCTTAGGACACCTGCGTTTTCATTTAATGGATGTGCCGTCCCAGCCAAACTCCCCACCGGACTATGTCTTCCGCATAGATCAAACATCAAAAAGACGACCTTAGTCACAATCTAACGGAATAACGAAAATGACATCAAGAGTACCGGTATTCCAAGGTTGTCAAATCTCCCACTTATTCGGCACCACCTGAGTCATTCAACAAAGTCGGACTAGAGCCAAGCTCAACAGGGTCTTCTTTCCCCGCTGATTATCTCAAGCCCGTTCCCTTGGCTGTGGTTTCGCTAGATAGTAGATAAGAACAATGGGAATCTCGTTAATCCATTCACGCGCGTCACTAATTAGATGACGAGGCGCAGAACTCCAAAGATGCATGCCTCAGCAAGGTGTTCTTCTTCGACTCGTGTCGCTGTCCCTCGCCTCACCTCTCCTCTCCTCGTCTACCCTCCATCCTCCTCGTCCTCCTCCCTCCTCGTCCTCCTCCTTCCTCGTCCTCCTTCTTCCTCGTCCTCCTCCCTCCTCTCCCTCCCCGCTCTTCGATCCCTACTTACAGGCACCGTGCAACAAGGAGCCCTACGGCACGAAGGCCGCTTGGCAACGTGTGGCTGACTGCAAGCACCCGTCATGAAAAGTCGGCTCGGCCAAGGTGCTCGAGCCCGCCTTGGCTTTGGACTTGCGCCAGCCGTGTGACAGGACAGCTTGGCGTGGCAATGCACTGGGATACTAGGGGGCAACCAAACCTACCTCGCTTTTGACCACCCTCGCTTCCAGGAGATACCAAGCGATGCCAAACTACAGCCTGTACTGGTCAGGCCGCTTGACGAGGAGGCGCGTGAAGCGGGGTAGGTCTTTCACGCTCTGAGATACACCGCCCCCCCTGGTTGTGGGGTTCGGACCCCGCCCCCGCATCTCCATGCTGACATCTCTTGTCTCTGCTGCCCGAACGGTTCGCCTCGCCTCCCTCACCTCCTCCCTCGCCTCTTCCCTCCCCTCCCTTCCCCTCCCCCTCCCCTCCCCTCCCCCTCCCCATCCCAACCCCTCATCTCCCCTCCTCCCCCCCCCTCATATCCCCCCATCTCCCCTCCCGTCCCCTCCCCTGCCCTCATCTCCTGTTTCCTCCCTTCCGTCCCCTCCCTCCCCCCTCCCTCCCGTCCCCTCCCCTCTCCTCCCCCCCCCCCCTTCCCTTCCCTCCCCACATCTCGTCCACCCCCCAGGCCGGCCGCGCGGGTCCTTCGACTCCAGGGGAAGGCCGAAGCGCTCCAGGAAGTTGGTCACCAGCGTGGGCAGCGCGTTGATGCGGGGGAGCGTGGCGGACATCCACACTGCCGGGGGGGGGGCGGATGGACGGATGGGCAGCGCCTTGGGATGGTCGGGAGGTGACGGCACCACGGCGAGGGGGGCCCGACCCGGATTCAATCGCCGCTGAAGCTGATAAGCGATAAAGGCACCCCTGACCTGACCCTTTGGGAGGGGACCAAAGTTGGGAGGGCCCAACACATTAGGGATAAAGTGTCTTTTCTGCAGATGTATCAGACCAACCCGCCCAGATACATGATCTCTGATGCGAAGACGTGGGCTTGAGTGAGGTCACGTCTTCATCGTGCTATTAGGGTTAGGGGCTCTCAGCACCCCCAAGCCTGATAGCACGATGCAGGCTGTTGTTCTCCATGAGCCCTGTCGGCCTCTCCTCTGGCTTACATCTTGGCGACCACGGCCACCATGCGTTGTCCCCTCCCGAGTCTGCAGAACCGGCGAGAGGCCTCCGACGCACGAGCCGAGGCGCAGAGCCGCTGGAAGGCATCTCCCGGGGCAGGGGCGCGCGCGTGGGATGCCGGGGGAGCGTGGCGGGCACTCGCACTGCGGGGGGAGCGGAGGGAAGAGGAAGAAGTGAAGGGGCCCTGGGACACACAAATACACAAATACACACAAATAAAAGGATTCCCCATATTTTCCTATATTTTCTGGGTTTTTGCATTCCCCTCAAATCCCCCCCATTTTTCCTTACTTTCTTGGGAATCGGCGATCAAATTGTGTCTGGGTGTCTTTTCCCCTCCTGAAGAGGCTGCGAGGCGGGGAACTATCGGCAGCCGCCGGGCGGGGATCGAGCTCCCCTGGGCACTCGGCGAGCGCTGGACCTGCACGTGTGCCTGGCCCCCCGGCGCCCGAGATCCCCCCAGGCGCGCGGCACCGCCAGCAGAGGGGCCCGCGGGGGGCCTACGCCTCCTCCTCTCCTCCTCTCCTCCTCCTCCTCCTCCTCTCTCCTCCTCCCTCCTCCTCCTCCCTCTCTCCTCCTCCTCCTCCTCCTCCTCCCTCCCTCTCCTCCTCCTCCTCCTCCTCCTTCTCCTCCTCCTCCTCCCCCTCCTCCTCCTCCTCGGGGGGGGGGGCAGACGTTGGGAGGCAGGCGGCTCGGGAGGGGAAACATCGAGGCGGCATCGGCGATGCATCGCGGGCAGATCGGCGAGGGGCCGCCGACGGCGGAAGCGCGAGTTCCCGGGCGGGGTGGGCCATCGGGCCCACATCGTCGGCGATCCATGGGCGCCTGGGAGTCGATGCACCCCCACTCGGGAGCCTCTCAAACCTTCGCGTCGCCCCAGGGCGTTCGGGTCAGAACTTGGGCCTCCTGCGGCCGCTCGGGACGATCCAGGCACCCCCAGAGCGGCCTCGACGAGGTGCAGCTGAGGGACACCACCCCGGGCCCCGAAAACCCAGGAAAAGCGATAGAGAGAGAGAGAGAGAGCTTACGCCGCCTCCCCTCTGAGCCCCTCCCCCCCTGACGTGGCCCCTGATAGGGGGCGGGCTCGCCCCGAAAATTAGCTCGGAGTGCGGCAGGGAGAAGTTATTGATAAGGAAAAGGAATGGAAGAGGAGGAGGAGGAGGAGGAGGAGGAGGAGGAGGAGGAGGAGGAGGAGGTGGAGTAGGAGGAGGGGGAGGAGGAGGCGGAAGGAGGAGAAGGGCGGAGAAGGAGGAGGAAGAGGAGGAAGAGGAGAGGGAGGATGAGGGCTCCTGTCTTGTACATCGGCGTCAGCATGGTCTGTATCATCGCACAGGCGAGCGGGTTCTCCTCGCGGCGCCGCCCGGGAGAGAGCGGTCCTCGCGAGGCCTCCCATGGGGGGTCGGAGCAGATGGGGCCGGAAGCTCGCGCCGCCTCGTCGATGCATCGGCGTGTAGGACATTGGGCTCCACATCGCTCGGACGTCCATGTCCCGTGCATTTTTCGGTTTCGTGCGTGTTTTTTGTTGCTCGATGGTCCATCATGGTCCTCGATGGTTCTCGCCGAGAAAAAATGCACACGTCCGAGCGATGCCAGGACATCGAGCCGCATTCGCCGAGGAATCGGCGACGCGGCGCGGTCCCCCGACCCCCTCGGCTGCTCGGGCGCCCGCGCGCCTCCGGCCGGGGAGGCTCCAAGTCGAGCCCGCGGCGGCTGCTCGGCGCCTCGCGGCCCGCGAGGCGCGCCGCGCGCCCTCTCCGCGCCCGCGCGCTCTCGCCGCGGGCCCGTCGGGTGGGCCCCGACGCGGGCCCGTGCAGAGGCGCCCGCGCCCGCGCCTCCCTGCCGCGTCGGCCCAGAGGCTCCCGAGGGGGCGGCGGCGCGCGCGGCGGGCCGCACGGGGGGGGCCCTCTCGCTGCGCGCCCGCCCCCGGAGAGGAGCAGCCGCTGCGGCCCAGGCCGCGACGCGCGGGCCGGGAGCAGCTTCGCGCCCCTGGGGGGGGGGGGGGGGGCGAAAGGGGGGGATAGCAAAGGGGGGGGTGAGAATCAGCTCACGTAGCTGATTTTCCTGGCGCCTCCCGGCGCTGGAGGCGGCTATGTATCGAGGAATGGGCCCCTCGGTGGGGCCGAAACCAGCTGCATGCAGCAGAATTCGTACCCCCCCCTTTCCCAATCCCCCCCTTTCGTCCGGCCCGACCCTGGGGGGGGGGCCCAGGTGACCACCGAGGAGAGATCAGGCGCTTGCGCAGGAGACGAAGGAGCAGCGCGCACATCTGGAAGGCGGTGTGCGTGCGTCACTAGGTGCAGCTCTCCATCCCGACACAGGGGTGACGACGAGGGACGCACACCCTCTCTCGCTGGGAGCATTAGCGTGATGGGAGGTGTTGTACAAGATTCGGCATATGTGGGAGCTGACTGGACCACGGAGCCGTCAAAAACCTACTTAGAATAAAAAACTGGCGTTGGGGAGGGGTGAAACTTTGAGAGGGTACTCTCTGCCCTATGCCGACTCGGTTCTCCACTCGCTTTGCCGTCCCGACTACTTTATCATCTGTACACCATGGTACACTTTGCTGTCTACCCCACTTTCTCGACTCCCTGATTGAAGCGTCAATCTGGACCTTCCACACAATACACCCTCAACCCTGATCTGCACGCTCAGCCCCTCTTTGCCCTCGACCTTCTACTCATGAATCCGATTCGGCAACTCTACGGCTAACGAACGCGGTGTCGCCGGAAGCGCGCGCGCACGTGCAGGCCGTAGACGCAACAAGGTGGAAATAACGGAGGTGTGCGGCTTCTGACTTACCGCCCTTCTCCCCAGCGTCCGCGCTTCGGCGTACGGCTCGCCTGACCAGGCAGAGCTCCGTCTCTGCCCTCTGCCAGTCTCAAGAAGGAAACCATGACCAGGACAACATCAGACCAGGACATATCGAAGATCTCTGAGATCTTGCGGCTCTGGAGGTTGGATCGGGCGTCGCGGCCGTGCCAGAGCGCTCCAGAACGCCATGATAGCGTTCCAACACGCCCTGGAACGATCTGTCCCGAGCCTACTCTAGCATGGGAAAAAATCGCACCCCCTTGGATCCGCGAGGGGGGGTGGGCACGTGCTATTGGAACGGGTGGAGTGGGGGTTCGAGAAAGACGAGGAGGAGGAGGAGGAGCAGGAGCAGGAGCGTGAGGAGGAGGAGGAGGAGGAGGAGGAGGAGGAGAAGGCGATGAGAAGGATGAGAAGCCGAATGAAGAGGAGGCGGAGGAAAAGGAGGAGATGAATAGGAGGAGGAGGAGGAGGAGGAGGAGGAGGAGGAGGAGGGAGGAGATGGAGAAGGAGGAGAAGGAGGAGGAGAAGAAGGAACAAGAAAAGGAGGGGCACAGCAGAATCCGTGGAGGATTCTGGTGCCTACAGCGCCGAGCGCCGAGAAGGGGGAAGAGGAGGAGGAGGGGGAGGAGGAGGAGGAGGAGGAGGAGGAGGAGGAGGAGGAGGGGGAGGAGGAGGGCGGGGGAAGGATGGGCAAGCTTCGTCGGAAGGTTCCCCCCCCGCTTGAGACCTACCCCACCCAGGGCAGCCCTGCCCGGAGTGGAACCGCCCCCTCGCAGCCCCAGCAGAGGCAGGCCCGCGGGCGCGGGGGTCTCCTCCGGGACGGAGGGGTAGCGGTCGCTGCCCATCGGGGGCTCGTCGACGACCTGGCGCCCGCAGGGGAGGTGCTGGAGGCCTCCCAGGTGGGGTCCGAGCAGATGGGTGCGGGCAATATCTATATCCACATCCAGTGCGTCTTGTGGAGTTTCGGGCTTTCTCCCCCCCAAGAAACCTGAGTCGCACTGGATATGGATTGAAGTCTGGCCCCGAGAGGCTCGATGTTCATCCATATCCAGTGCGCCTCGGCCTTGCGGCGCCCCTTCCAAGAAAGTCCAAGCGGCACTGGATATGGATACAAGTATTGCCCGCAATGGGGTCCAAGGATCGCGCCGCATCACGGTGGGCGTCTCGCAACGTCTAGCTGCCAAGCAGCCGTTGCAGACAAAAGCATCCCCAAATAATCATCTCCGACAGCATGATCTGTGCAATCCCATCAGTGTTCCTCGGTCTCGGTCACTCGGGTCTGTTAGCGAGCCCCGGGTCCGTCAAATACGGATCCGGGACGAAGGACTCCCATCGGGGGAGAAGGGTGGGGACCTCTGGGGCCGCGCATTGCAAACACCCGTGGTCGGATGTCCAGGCCTGTTGGCCACCGCAAGACAAGAACAAGGCAAAGCGACACCAGCACAACCGGCGCGAGGACACAGGGGCCATCCTTGTGGTGCGGTCCCCCTCCCCGCTCGAGGCATCACCCATCCCCAGCTCGGGGTGACATCGTGGACCTCCTCGCTGGAGGTGTGGTGCCGCCCTGGTCTCTTCGGCGCAGTCACCTGTTGACAGGAACTGCGGGAGTGTGAACCCCCACAAGCGCCACAGAGAGTTGGGGAGCTCACATGAAAGCGCACGCGCCCAGCCACGCACATGAACACGGCCCCCGCCCCAGTCTGCGAGGACCAGCCTCGCGCTACGAATGCCCGCGCAAGTCTTGCTCTCGATAACGACAACAGTCCTGTACAGGTTACAGTTAGAACGTGTATTAAGGACGGGTGGCAAGGAAGCCGAAGCTGGGATTTTATGAGCCCTGGGCGACCAGTGAAAACGGCAAAGGACGGCCCGCAGAGGCAAGGACACACAAGGGCACCCCAGACGAAGGCGCGCGTCCTCACCAGGCGCGTGGACTGTAGTTAATGCTAAAGACCGCTCGGGGATCTGAGCTGGTTGGGACCCAGAAGCGCGGTGGGAAGGGGGATGAGAACAAACCCGCTCAAAGCTGTCCCCGGACCCCTCCCGGGTCGATCAGGTGCAGTTTTTCACCCCGGCCCCGTTCCCTTTCTGACGGCCCTGGGGCCCGAAACCGACTGCCAGGGATAGAAAAAGGCCCAGCGCCTTCTCGAACCCAGCACCTCGAATCTGAGGGGCAACGATAGGGGGGGATAGGCATAGGGGGGGATGCATCGACCTGGAATCGGCGATACATCGCCGATAGATCGGCGATAGCCCCCCGATAGCGAATCCGCACCTTCCTGGGCGGGGTTGGGCTATCAGACCCCTATCGGCGATCAATGGGCGATTGGGGTCGATGCATCCCCCCCTATGCCTATCCCCCCCTATCGTTGCCTCTCTTCCCCCCCCTCCTGCTCGCTGGAACCAGTGCTGGGCCACCTCAGACCCCGAGCCGACTTCAACGTCGCTGTGTCGCTTCAGGAAGGTCGCAGTCGCACTGGACGGCGATCGCGGGAGCTGCTGAGCTGGCGCCGGCAAGCGCCCACAGCTGGTCCGACGGACTGGGCTCAAGTCGGGCATGTCCTCCTACAGGGGGATTTTGGACGAAAAATGCACTTGTCCGAAAAATACCCCAGAGATATTCAAAAAATACTCCAAAAATTGCCCCCTGACTATTTTTCGACTACTTCTGGATATTCCTCCTGCAGAGGGACAGGCCCGGCGTAAGACTGGCCTCTGCGACGGCAGCGAAGCTCACGCCCCGGGAGCCGGAGAGCTCGGAGCGCGAGCCGGAGAGCTGGGCATAGGGGGGGGGTGGCCTGGCGGGAGCCAGACTCGGAGAGGCGCCGCCGCATGACGCGGACGCATTTGTTGTTTCCCCAGGGGGTAGAACGTAACGTGTTTATAGTTGAGGAGGAACTGCAGCAGCATCCTCTTCCTCCTCGCAGCTAGGCTCAGGAGGTGGCGCCTCCTGGGCCTGACCTCTGGGTCCCAGCGGGGGGAGGAGCAGGAATGGAGGCGGGGGCTGACAGTGCGAGCCGGGCATGAATATGGAACCACCACCTCGGGGATCGGTTTTCGGGGACCACGCTTTGCGTGGCGGTGGATATGTATGTGTGCGTGTGTGTGTGTATATTATATATATATCCACCCCATTAGAGGTGTGTGTGTATATACACACCTGTACATACATATTGTTAGATTATTGGATCCCCTGTGGCCGAATCTGTGCAATTATACATCAGCGGTGCAGATGGACTTAGTTGACACCCCTCTGGCCCGAACTTAGCAACCGATTGGCATACGCGTACAGGAAAGCACTCGCGCTTCGCTCCATGCACCTTGCTCAGCAGACAAAAAAAATAGGCAACGTCCGAGCGCGCTCGCGCAGACAACCCGAGCCACTCCCCTGACACGTCGGCGCATACGCGCCGAGCAGGCTCGACCGGCGGGCCCCTTCCTGGGCGAGCGCCTCCTGGAGTTCCGTCGGGCGTGTCCCCCTGCAGGGGGATTTTCGAAAATACACCAAAAAGACCAACAAATATTCAAAATAGTCCCCAGACTATGTTCGGACTATTGTTTGATTATTTTGGGGGTATTGTTTATTGTTCGTCGACATCCCCCAGGCCCGACATAATCCTGGAGCCTCTGGAGGCCTCTACAGCAGCCTTCGGGAGGGGGCCTGCACGGGCCTGCCGACCACGGAACTGCCTTGGGGCGCTCCGGGGCTCTCCTCAGGCCATCTTCGAGTCGTCTGGACGACGACGACGACGACGACGACGACGACGACGACGACGAGCCACCCCACACCCACAGGGGGAGGCAGGGGGCTGCCCCGGCACCCTCTGCCACGCCACGCCCACAGGGCCACGACCTCAGGCGGGGGGGAGGGGAGCGATCCCGATCGCGAGGCCTCCCCGCGAGGCTCACGGGCGCGCCCGCAAAAGCGGGGCGCCTCGCGGGAGGCCTCTCGGAGAAGCGGGCCCTGGGCCCCCCGGGGACGCGCCGCCGAAGAGCACGCCGGGGTGCTTCCCCGGGGGGCACGCCGGGGGGGGGGCCCGCCGTGGCCTCCCCGGGGAGCCCCGTGGAGCGTCTTGCGAGGGCTCCCGACTTCGCGCTCTCGCGCTGCGCGCGCTGCGCGAAGCGCGAATGGCTTCGCGCTCTCGCGCCGCCCTCCCAAAGGGAGAATAGGAGGACGAGGAGGAGGGGGAGAAGGAACGAGGACCGCGAAGCGCGAAGCGCGAATAACTTCGCGCCCTCGAGGGAGCCCTTGTCTTGGGGTGAGCCCCGGGGCGGAGGCCTCGCAGCGTGAGCTCCAGTGTTCTGTCTCGCAACCTCTTCCTTGCCGTCGCTCGGACGTCCATTTCCCGTGCGTTTGTCGGTTTCGTGCGTGTGTTTTTTTCGCTCGATGATCCAGGATGTTCCTCAAGGGTCCTCGCCGAGAAAAAAATACATACGCCCGAGCGATGCCAGGCTTCTGGACCCTCTGGAGGCCTTTTTGTCGGTTTTGGCTGCCTGTGGGGCTGTCTTGGGGCATTCCTGGTCTGTCTTGGAGCTGCCTTTGGTCGGCGTGGGGCTACCTTGGGGGCCTCTCAGGCGGTTCACGACGGCGATCTGTTCGCGAAAGCGAACATGATGAAAATGCACGTTGTCTTCACGGAGTGGGACGATGTTTTCCTCGTGAGAATCTATCATGTTTTACACGTTGCGTAAATAAGGCCCTGAGATCTGAGGGCCTTCTGCAGGGTCGTCGCCGGGCGTAGAAGAAGCAGGGCGTCTGGGGCCGCCTGGAGCCTTCGTGGCGCTGTTTGGCAGCCTGTAGCACCGTTTCGAGCACGCTGGCAAAGCTCGGCAAAGGCGTCCCACTACCCAGAAGGCCCCCGTGACATTACGAAAGGGCGTTCAGGGCGCCCCTGGGGCCAAAGATCCGGGATTGTCTAGTTCAGGGGGATCTGGCGGAGGGTTCCGGGAAATGGAGGTGAGAATATGAACAATAGAAGGAATAGTCATATGGGCAAATATACACATACACCAATTACGATGTATACGTGCATATATATATATATATATATATATACATACATACACGTACACCGATACATCAATCATATATCCATATGTCTATATCCACCTCCTGCCGTGGCCCCCGAAGATTGACTCCCCAGGCGGCGGTTATTGACACATCCCCGTGGCGATAGTTGGCCGTCGGCGTCGTCGATCCGCCCCCCTGCTGCTTGCAACCGGGGATGTTGGCGTACCGAGGTTTGACCATTTGAGCCAACAGAAAACTCCTAATGGTGTCTCGGACGATCCGGCTGGCCGCCCAAGATGGCGCCAACGAGGCCTCCAAGGCAACCAAACTAGCATCTAACACGGACAAGATTGCCCCTCGTGCCACCAAAATGGATGGCTTCAAAAGAACTTCGAAGAGGTCCCCAAAGTGCCCCCAAACGGCCCCACAAGCCTCCAAGACGGCCGTAAAGCGCCGAAGGAGGGACCAAGACGGCCCAGAGGCCCCAAACGCCAGCCTCTGAAGGCATCCCCCTAGAGGCCCCTCAGAAGCCCCCGATAAGCCCCAGCGAGGTCCCAGGAGGCCCCCAAGAGGCACCTCAGATGCCCCCAAGAGACATCCTCTTCCTCCGTCTTCTCCCGCTCCGTCTCCTCCCACTTCTTTCCCAAGTATACTCCCCCCGTTGGTTTCTGCAACGGCTGGGGCAACACAGAGTCCAATAGCTTGACGTAGCCCCCTGCCCTCCTGGGAATGCCGACGTGACCAAACGCTGAGCCAGAGCTCGGCCACGCTATTGATATATGTGTTGCACCAGCCGTTGTAGAAGCCCATGGGTGAACAGACTGACGAAAGGAAGGGAGAGGGAGGACAGGGAGCAGGAGGGTGGAGAGGGCGGAGGGACTTGGAGCCACAAAACACGACACAGCAATCAACTCTCGGAGGTCCGCACGGATTTCTTGGATCAGCGATGGACTCCCGAGGGCGGCGCTGGAGGCGCAGCCCCGTTCTGTCTCTGGGAGGAATGGCATGGGCAACGCCTCCGAAGGCCGGGGGACCTCCGAGCCTCCTGCGAGGCCCCGCCCCTTCTCGCTCTCCCCCCTCGCTCGCCGCCGAGAGAGGGCTGGGCGGAGGGCGAGAGAACGTGCACGGGGGCAAAGGTGGCCCCTGTGCCCGGCGGCTGGGCGCGGGCCGCCCGGGCGCGGGCCGACCAGGATGGTGCGCTGCGGGTTCAGCTGCCGCAGCAGCCAGGCGCAGCTGCTCACGTCGCACATGAGGTAGATGCGCGGGTCGCGCTTCAGGTTGTGCAGGTTCCGCTGCCTGCCCGCCCGCCGCGGCGGGAAGAGGGGCCCCGAGCGAGGAGTCTTTCGGGGATGGACAGACCCCCCTTTCGCAAAACGTGGTTTAGCGAAAACGACCTGAGGCCCAAACCTGGCGGGCGCAAGCCTGGAAAATAACGGCCACGGCGCCCTCTCGAGAACCGAAAACGGACAATTCACTAATCGACGTGTCACTGTTGGGGGTTCTGCCCAGCCCCGAAAAAGGGGCCCCGAGCGAGGAGTCTTTGGTGTGCCAGCGCCGGATGGGAAGAGGCAGGCACGAGCGCCGAACACCTGCGCAGACCCCGCGCGCCAAGGAGCAGTCCAAGACGCGCTGCTGGCGAAGGAAGCCGTTCCGAAAGCAGGGGCCGTGATGCCAGGGGCCCTGGAGCCAGACATACTCCACACACACACACACAAACACACACACAAACACACAAACACACACATACACACCCTGGACACATCCTGGAAACACATTGGGCACATTCTGGGCACATTCTGGGCACACCCCAGACACACCCAGACACACGCCCAGACACACGCCAGACACACGCCAGACACACGCCAGACACACGCCAGACACACGCCAGACAAACACAGGCACCCGCCAGACACACGCCATGAACACGCCAGACACATGCCACACACACACACACACGCCACACACTTGCCAGACACACGACGAACACGCGCCAGACACGCGCCAGACACACGCCAGACACGCGCCAGACACACGCCAGACACACGCCAGACACACGCCGAACACACGTCAAACACACGCGAGACGCTAGACACACGCCAGACACACCCAGACAGCACGCCACAGCATGACGACGACGAGGACTGCGACGACTGCGAGTGCGACCAATCTCCAACTCCGACGATTCCGACGCCGACGACGACTCCGACTCCGACGCCTCCGACAACGATAACCCTTCGACCGCACTTGTCTGCCTCACCCCTTCAACACTCTACGGCCGGAACATCGTAGGCATAATACCCTCAAGAAGTTCCAAAATTGACTACCGCGAGCGAGCCAGTTTATTCGCACATACAATCCATGTGTCCACACCGAATACTGGTCTACACGCAGCTTGCCTGAGTCCAGCCCTCAAAAAATCCGCCACGGTGCCGCTGGGCACGGAGTGGGCGTGCTCCCCAGGTCCTGTGCCCAATCCTCTAATGGTGGGCCTATTTTCCACCACCACCACCATAAGTTGGAGGGGGAGGGAGTCCTCCTCCTCGTCCTCCTCCTCCTTCCCCCTCCGACCTATGGTGGTGGTCGTGGTGGTGGAGAACAGGCCAAGCCTCTGAGCCTCAACCCTCACTCCTGAGGAGGCGTTCCAGGACCCGGACCCCACACTCAAGACTCTCCCGGGGCTCCCAGCGTGCCCCTGAAGAGCTTCCCGCGTGCGCTCCTGGGCTCACCCGCATCTCGTCGCGTGACCGCTTCGGGCCCAAGGGGGCCCCCAAGACAGGCCACGAGGTCCAAGACGGCCCAAGAGGGCCCCGAGTCGCCGAAAGATCGCTTCAAATTGCCCAAGATGGTCTCAAGATAGCCCGAGAGGCCCTGAAGACACTCCAAGAGACCTCCCACGAGGATCCCAAGATGCACAAATTATTGATTTTCACTAGGTTGTGGCGTTCTCGCCTTGTCTGGTTTCCGACGCTACAAGACGGCCCAAGGCGCCGCCAAGAGCACCCCAAGACGGTCCAAGAGGCCTCCAAGAGGGCCCCAAGACGGCGCAAGAGCGCCGTAAGACGGGCCAAGAGGCACTCAAGACGGCCTAAAGAGGGCTCCAAGAGAAGGAGCACGCACCGAAAATCTGAGCCTTCCGCCCCAAAGGGCCCCCAAGGGGCTCCAAGGGGCCCCCAAGAGGTCTACAGAGCCCACCAGGGGGCCCAAAAGAGGCCCCCAAAAACGGCCCCCAAGAGCCATCCGAACTGCCTCCAAGAGCCCCCCCTGGCCTCGCTCGAACGTCCATCCCCTGTGCTTTTTTCGGTTTCGTGCGTGGTTTTTTCGCCAAATGATCAAGGATGCTCCTCGATGGTCTTCGCCGAAGGAAAAATGCACACGTCCGAGCGATGCCAGGCCCCGAGAAGCCTCGCGCGAGATGCCGACGAACATCCAACAGGCTTCATGCTCACAACCCAGGCACGGTGGCCGGATGGGCCGAAGGCAATTCGACCCGCTTGGTACGGAGACGGGAAGCGCTCGTACTTTGCGAGGGCGCGATGTTGCTTACTCGGTGTCTGAGAGCCCTCTTGGTGTTGAGACTTAGTCGCGTCATGCAGGCAACTAACACACAACCGGACGAACATCCGAGAAGATGGTCTCTCCAAGCTTTCGGAGGGGTCCTTTCGGGAATCCTTTGGGCCGTCTGGAGGACCTCGTGGGTCGGCCTGGGGTCCTCTTGGGCCGTCTTGGGGGGGTTGAGACGTCTTGGAGCCCGCTCGGGGCCCTCTTGGAACGTCTTGGGGACTTCCTGTGGCCCCTTTGCGGCTCTCTGGGGGATCTCTTGAGGCCCTCGAGGGCCTCTCTTGGGCCGTCGTGGGGCCCTCTGGGGCCGTCTTGGAGCCGTCTTGGGCCGTCTTGTGGCCGTCCTCGGAGCCTCTTGTGCCGTCTCGGGGGGGTCCTGAGGGCCTCTTATCTTAGGCCGTCGTGGACGCTGTGAGCAACGAAACAGAGATGCTAGAACATTTTGAGTTCCCCCGAGGGAGTGGGACGATGTTTGCTTCTTGGGCGTCCTTTTGGAGGCCTCGTGGAACGTTTTGAGGGCCCCTTCTGTAGCCAAGCGTGGGTCCAAAGAGGCGTCTCGACGCACCGAGTCCTGTGCAAAATGCTTGCCGTCGGCCACCAAGCTGAATTCCGGCTGAAGCCGCTCCGCGATATTGACGAGGGCCCAGCGCGAGAGCAACACCTCCTGAAGTCATTCATTCGTTCATACGTTTGAACAGTTGGTCTGCTCCACGGCGATGAGCAGAGCCAGCACAAAGGCCAAACCATGGAACGAAATTGACTGACATCCACCCACGGCAAACAGAAGAAGAGCCAACACGAGGGCCAACCTTCGAACAAAACTAATTCACGCGGCTTCATGGAACAAAAATCACGCTGTTTCCCGATCATCCTCAGAACGTGTCAGCGCAAACGTGCGCTTGTCATCGCAGCTCTTTGATACGTCGCAGGATGTAAGGATCTATCAACGGAGCTGAATGGGGCAACACACACACACACGCAGACACACACACACACAAACTGTAAAGGAACAATATCGATCGAGTAGGCATGCGTGTCGAATCGGGCAGACGGGTAATTCAAGCATGGGGCTTACTTTGGGAATGACCAACTTCTGTGGCGGGCAAGCGGTGCTGGCGAAGCGCTACCGCGGCGCCGGCCTGTAGCCTGTAGCCAAGCGCGGGTCCAAAGAGGCGTCTCGACGCACCGAGTCCTGTGCAAAATGCTTGCCGTCGGCCCCCAAACTTATCCGCGGCATATCCGATCCGCGGCATCTCCGCCCGCATTGTTTGGCAACTTTAAACAGCTGGTCTGCTCCACGGCGATGGGCCAAAGCCAGCGTGACGGCCAAATCCCCAAACGACATTGACTGAAGCCGTGAGAAATGGCCAGCACGAAGGACAACCTGCGAACAAAAATGACTCACGCCGCTGCACGGCAAGTCCGCCGACCCTGTCGGCGGGTGGTCGGCGTGTGAAAGACGCTTTTCCGCTCGTCGTAGCCGTCGCCGTTCCCCTGGGCCTCCTCAAGCGCCCCTGCCAAAGCGAAATGAAACAGCAACATCCTTTTTGAATCGAAGAAAAAACCCTTCCCTTTGATCCCTCCCCAGGCTGGTGGGGAGTCCAAGGGGGGGCCCAAGGCAACTCCCCAGTCAGAATGTCGCCCCCCTGGCGGTTCTGGCCCCAAGAAAAAACCATGAAGCAGCGACCTCCCCGCTGTTCATCCCCGACCATCCTTATTTGGGAGTCCCTCCGCACCGTCTGCGGCTGGTCCGCGGGGGCCTTTACGAGCTCATGCGAGACCTCAATACCAAGGAGCGGCTCGTGAATCACGCGCCCGTGATTCTGCAGGACGTCCAGCGGTTCCACGTGGTCGCCACGCTGGACCAACGGGAATACCCCAATTCCTCGTATCATTTTCCAACGGGCCCTCGGTCGAGGAGCTTTTCTTAGGCAAGCTGCGAAGCACGCACCTGGAGCGTAAGCCCCACCCTCCTCGTCCTCGCCCTCGCCGTCCTCGTCGTGCCCGCCCGGGGGGCAGCGGTGCCGGCCAGAAGGCCTTCGCAGTAAACGCTCCTGGCGAACCTAGAAATTGCGACAAAGACGTTCAGGTGCACAAGTGCTGCACTGGCATTGCGTAAACTGTACAACATGAATCCAAGCACGTTGCTTGAGACGTTGCCAGCACGGCACCTCCCCACCGGAAACACCACATCGATGCCGCTCCGCGGTAAAAAAGACGGAAGACCTACTCTGCGAGAAGCGGGCACGAACAGTCTTCAAACGCTGCGCCACCGCGGTCCCCGCTCCACAATTCTGCCTACAACCACTGCCACGCGCCTCGAAAGTCGGGGCCCGTCGCCGCCGCAGAGCGGATGCCCCCGTCGCTGTCGATCACGGGCACCGCGGCGGCGCGCGGCCATGCGGCGGCTCCCTCCGTTGGGCGAATGACACTGGAGCGGTAGTAGCCGCCGCAGCTGGTGTCGTCGCCCACCACGGCCGAGCTGGGCACTCCCGCGGGCATCGGCTCCGGTGGCGTGGCCGCGGGCTTCGCGGCGGCCGGCGCGCGGGGGCCACCGGAGCGGTAGTAGCCGCCGCAGGAGCGGTCGCCGCCCAGCACGGCCGCGTGGGGCACGCCCCCGGGCACGGGCGCCGGCGGCGTGGCCGCAGGCGCCGCGGGGGCCGGCGCGCGGCGGCCGCCGGACCGGTAGTAGCCGCCGCAGCTGGCGTCGTCGCCCAGCACGGCCGAGCTGGGCAGGCCCCCGGGCACGGGCGCCGGCGGCGGGGCTGGGGCCTCCGCGGCGGCCAGCGCGCGCACCCCGCCGAAGCGGTAGTGGCCGCCGCAGGAGCGGTCGTCGCCCAGCACGGCCAGGCTGGGCTTCGCGCGCGGAGCGCGAGCGCCTCCAGACCGGTAGTAGCCGCCGCAGGAGCGGTCGTCGCCCAGCACGGCGGAGCTCGGCACCCCCCTGGTGGGGCTTGCGGCAGGCGACAAGGAGCGGTCGCCCTCGCTGGCAATGGTGGACCCCGGGCTGACGTGTCGAACCAGCTTCCTCATTGCCTCGGGCTCGCTGATCGTGGGCTCTGTCTTCTCGGTCGACTCCTGCCTCCACATCGCCTGGACAGAGGCAGTTGCAACCGTCCTATATACTCGACGGGGA